TCTCCGTGACTTTGTACACAATACATGTCAGAGACACAGGTTTGTAGTTTAGTGCCTCATTTCTGTTTCCTTTCTTAAATATGGGGACTACATTTGCTGTCTTCCATTTCTCAGGTAGTTGCCCAGTTTCAAGGGATGTGTTGAAGATTGTGGTTAGGGGCACGCACAGCATCTCTGCTCCTTCTCTAAGGACCCATGGGGAGATGTCCGGTCCCATCGCCTTTGAGGTATTAAGGTCACTTAGCAGCTTCTGCACCTCCTCCTCGGTTGTTCGTATGTCATCCAACACTTGTTGATATATTCCCTCTTGATGTTCCCTTCTGTGCTGTCTTCCCAGAGCCCTTCCTGTCTCTACTGTAAAAACTTCCTTAAATCTCCTGTTTAGCTCCTCACATACCCCTGATCATTTCTTGTGAGTTCTCCACCTTCTGTCCTTAATCTGATCACCTGGTCTTTGTTGTTTTTCCTCCTTGTGGCAAACAACATTTCGGGTCAATCTTGATTTTCGATGCTAGTTTTTTCATATGTCGCGGGGCCTCATGGGGTACTCACCTAATTGTACTCACCTAATTTGGTTGCAGGGGGTCGAGACTCAGCTCCTGGCCCCGCCCTTCATGATCCTATAGGTCCTTCTCTCTCTGCTTCCTGAGCTGTATCATACCTCTTCTCAAAACATGTAGGGTTTCCTGCCTCCATATTCCCCTTGCTGGCATTTCATTTCCCTGACTACCATGACTGAAGAAATGCTTCAAACCCCTCCCTGTGACTCGTCGAGTCTTCAGCTTCCGTTGTGACCCCTTGCCCCTTTTCCCCCTCTCTGGAACATCCATCTCTGTCCCCCTTTGTCTATTCCCCGCAATCTTGTATGTCTTATCATGTCTCCCCTGCCCCTTTTCTGTCCCCCAGTGTCTCATTTTCGTTTCCCCTCAACCTTTCCTTTACGACTTTCCCCCTGACTCTGGGACACCCTTTTTTCAAACCTTTGTATTTTCTCTAATTTCTTGACGTGTTTGACCAGGTGTGGGTTTCCAGACGGGTGCTGCATACTCCAGTTGGGCCTAAATACCAGTGAACAGTGTTTTGGGAACGATTCCTTTTTAAAGGTATCGGAACGCTTTTTCCCCATTTTTTGCCGGGCACCCTATGCTGCAGCAAGTTTTTTGGGTTTTGATTGTGCCTCCGGTGATGTGCTCGGTGTTAGGGGTCCCCCCCAAAGGGTTTTTCTCCCTGAAATTGAGGTCTGTATCTTTGCCCCCCACCTAGCCATCCCTTTTTCCCCTGCGGTCTTTTTTGGGCCCCTCCCCAATCTTCATACTTTGCTTTTGGCGGGTTTTAAATTTCCCGAGAACCCCTTTTTACTGAACCCCTGCCCCCACCCCCTGTCCGGGTCTTTTTGGGCAGTCCCCCCACCCTCATCCCGATTTAATTTTTCCCTCATCAATTTCACATCTTTCCGGGCAACAGGGACACTTCAAAAGTCTTTTTTTTTTTCCATCATGTCGTTCACATAAAACAAAAATAGCACTATTCCTAAATTTTGACCCCGTGAGATCCCGCCCGTCACAGGCGCCCCCCGGGTAAATCCCCTTTTCCCAACGTACCTGCCCGGGGTTGTTTTGCCTCCCTGTCAGGTTTTCCCCCCTGATCCATTGCAGTCCCCCCCCTCAAACCCAGCCCCTTTGTTCCTCCAGTTTTCTCCCACTAACTAGGAAAACGAAAATCCAAAACCCACCCCTCTCTCTCGTGGTTTTACTTTTTTACCTTGTCAAAAAAACCTCCGGGAGGTTTTGTATACACGATTTGCCCCAGACCCCATGCGGGTTTTTTCTTTATAATCTTTTTCCCCCTTTCCCCAGGTTTTTCCCCCCACTCTCCTCCTGATAATCTTCCCCTTTGATTTTTGTACAAAAAATACATGTCAAAAACCCCCGGGGTTTTGTAGTTTAGGCCCTCGTTTCTGTTTCCTTTCTTAAATTTTGGGGATTTACCCCAGTTTGTCTTCCTTTCCCCTTTTTTTTGGGCCCCAGTTTAAAGGGGAAATTGGTTGAAGTTGTGGTTAGAGGAAATGCCAGCTCTTTTTGCTCCTTCCAAAGGACCCATGGGGAGATTTTTGCCCGGGTCCCATGGGCCTTTTGGGGTGTCAAGGTAAACTTAGCAGCTTTTTTTCACCTCCCCCCCGGTTGTTCGTAGGGCCCCACCAACCTTTTTGGGTTTTTTCCCCTTGATTTTTCCCCTTTTTTGTCCCTGTTTTTCCCCAGACCCCTTTTCCTTTGTCTCTACTGAAAAAAATTTTCCTTAAACCCTTCCTTTTTCAGTTTCCTCACATACCTCCGATCATTTTTTTGGGGAGTTCTCCCACCTTCTGTCCTTAACCTGATAAAACCTGTCTTTGACTTTTTGTCTTTCTCCTATGGGTTTATAAAAAACAATTCAGGCCCAAGCCCTTTGATTCTTAAATGCTTTTCCCAATTTTCATACGTCGCTGGGCTTCCCTCCTTACCTGGCATACCTTTTCCGGGCTCTGCGACTGATCCCCTTTTTTCGTGTTTTTCTCTCCCTTTCGTATTTTTTCCATTCCTATTGCACTTTTTTTTTTGCCTCTTTAAAAACCGGTGGGGTAAACCGGGGGCTCGTTCTGGTCTTCCCGTTGTTACTGTTCCCCTTTTGGGAAAAAACCCTTTTTCCAAATGCCCCCCTTCCCATTTTGTTTTTTACAATTCCATCATTTCATTTACGGGTTTTTTCCCTGCCAGTTCCTGCCCCAAAGGACCCCCCCGGGGAAAATTTTTCCCAACCCTATGTACCCCCTCTTTTATAGTCGGGGTTTTTTTTCCTTCAACTCCTTTTTATTCTCTCCACTTGCAGCCCCACTATATATTCAAAGCAAAGAACCCCCGTGGTCGCTAGCTCCTGGGGGACTCCCCAACTTGATGTCCTAAATTTCTGAGTTCCCCCGGGGTGAACAAAAGGGTTTCCCAATCTTGCTGGTTAAACCTCCCCTCTCACTCGGGGAAAGGTCCTTAACATGTTTGGTGCTTTAAAGGTTTTTCCACACCACGTCCAACTTTCCGGGCCTCCATTTTTTGGGACCCCCATGGGGCTCCGGGTTTTCCCATAAAATTTTCCCGTGGTTAAAATTCCCCCAAAACCAGCAACTTTGCTCGGGCGGGAGTGAGCTCTTTTTGGGCCACCTCGGGCAATTTTGGTCCCCCAAATTCTCTGTTGCTCTTTTTCATATTCCTCCTTGGCCTCCTGCGTTCTGTGGGGGATTATAAAATCACTGAAAATGACCACTTTGTGCCCCCCAGACTGAAGTGTCCCTACTATTAGTCTCTTTCTCCCGTCTAAATCAAAGGGCCTTCCTTTTTCCCTCGAATTTCCATCTGTTTTTTTTACGACAGAGCAACCCCACCTCCCCCTCTGCCCCTTTTTTAATTTTTCCCCTCATGAGGGGGTTATCCGGGTGGGAAGTTTTGCATCTTTTGTCCCCTTTTAGTTTTGTTTCTGTAACTGTATATTTCGGGGACTTCTAAAATGATTCTTTCTTGCCATTCCTCTTTTTTTTTCGTTAATCCATCTGCATTTGTGCACCAAACCTTCAACTTCTGTTCTAATACTGTAACTGTGGTGCGGGGTGTGTGTGTGTGTGTGTGTGTGTGTGTGTGGTGTGTGGTGTGTGTGTGTGTGTGTAGTTAAATATAATATCCATATTTCTCTCCCTCCACTTTTTTCTTTCCTCTGCCTCCTGTGTATAATTTATCATGCTTCCGCTCTGGGATGGAGATATCTTCATAGAAGTTCCATTTCACCTGCGTATGGGATATGCTATCCTAAGAGATGGCAGTCACCAAGTGATAGTAACTCAGCTATGCTGGAAGGAAACCTTTGCATAGTTAATGAGCTCTTGCTGAAATACTTGATGATATCCTCATTGCCTTGCTGAAGTCTCCCAGCTCAGATTGGCGGATTTCAACACCTTGCATGAGCCCCATCCTGCGTGACGGAAAATGATAGGGGAAAACACAAGTAGCTTTTGGTCCCACTGTAATTATCACACAGAATAGTGCAGCTGCACACTGTTGATATATGCAATTTTGTTTTGTTTAAAAAAAAGATAAATCGTGACACGTAAAGATGCATTAGCCTTAATTAAATAATGAGTACGTATGGATGTGTCATCAATAAATAATAGGACGTGCAGATGTGTCATCTTTAAATCATGGGACGTGCAGATGTGTCATCCTTAAATAATGGGACGTGCAGATGTGTCATCCTTAAATAATGGGACGTGCAGATGTGTCATCTTTAAATAATGGGACGTGCAGATGTGTCATCCTTGGGTTAAATCACTGAACGTGAAGAAAAGACATATTGCAAAAAAAATATATGGCTCAGTGTTTTGCTGTATAGAGCTTTATCAACTCACTACTTGATCAAGCGAAACGCCGTCCCAGTCAACGCCTCTTCAGTGAGCTTTGAGTCCTCTTTATTGTTGTTGACTACACACAATTTGCATCCAGATCGAAGAACTTTGTTAACTGCTTGAAGTTACTTTGGATAGTCCAGAAAGTCTCGCTATTACGAGTACGTATATTGAACTCTAGAGAGACTACAACCACAGAACAACAAATAATGAGAGAAAGCAGTGTTAACTTGGGTTTGGTGTAACGCTAAGTGATGTATAAAGCGATGAATTAATTGCAATGTAGAAGAAAGACAGACTCAGTAAAATTAGAGGAACAATGTTCTTAACACTCTTAGTGAACTAAAAGGCACATTACCGTGGCTGGAACAGTACACAGATAACCCGCACGTCGGAAAGAGAAGCTTACGACGAAGTTTTGGTTCGACTTGGACCATTTACAAAGTCACACTGCGTGACTTTGCAAATTATCCAAGTCGGATCGAAACGAAATGTCGTCGTCGTAAGCTTCTCTCTCCTATGTGTGGGTTATTTGTGTAACTTTCTTGGGGTAAGATTACAAATATGGTTGACATACCTGTGTCTTGCGAGGTTAGAAGACGTGGAGTAGGTCCGTCCGCACTCAGGGCAGACGTGGGCGTCTCGTACAGGTGGGGAAGGTGTGGTGGGAGGAGTGGGAGCGGGCGGGGTGGGTGCTGGTGTACGTGGTGGACTAGTGCTGAGGTTGAGTGGCTGGTCGTAGTGTGGCGCTACGGTAATGATGGTGGTGTGGGCATCTAGTTCCAGTACAGGGGTACTGCTTTCTCTCTCTGCGGAGTGGGCGTCGTCGCAGGTGTGGGCGTGCTCACAAGCGTGGGTGTGTTGTAGCGAGCGGGCAGGTCTTCAGGACGCAAAGCTACCAACCATGGCTTGTCTGCACACTCCAGAGCGATGTCAGCTAGAAGAGTGAGAGAGTCGTGTGGTCCAGCTGGAGACGGCGGCCATGGGGTCTCACCTTGTGATGGAGACATCGGGGTGGTGGAACCTTCAGCATTGCTGTATACATCACCAGCTCCGCCAATCGCTGGCGACAAAGGAGGTACTTCAGCACTCCTGTAGATGATTCTGGCTTCTCCAGGCGCTGGAGACAAAGGAGGTACAGTTCCTTGCACATTGCTGTAAACAATCCTGGCTTCGCCCTGGGTTTGCGACAAAGTAGGAACCTCAATATTTCTGTAGACGGCCCCGGCTTCAACAGATGCTGTTGACAAAGAGGGCAACGAGCCCTCCACACTGCTGTAGACCACCCTGGCTTCGCCCATATCTTCTTCGAACACAACCTGGTAAACACAACAGTTGTTGAACGTTGTGGAACATAAATCACCGTGACAATGAACTACACTGCACCTAGAAGGTCTTTAGACACACGTGAGTGGTGCCACTTGTTCCTGGCGAGGTGGTAGTGGCACTGGTGGCGACGGCCGGTGGTTGGCACACCCGCCCTGTGCCACGTGCTGCCTCACCCACACCTATTTTGAGCACGAGGGCCACCCTGATGCCCGAGGCACCCCACCCCCCCGATGTCCTGTGGGCCTTCCCCTGATGCCCCAATGCTACACCCTTGTCACAGCTGCTGTTTCAGGACCCCCCTAACACTAAAACCATGAGTACGTAGTTAGCAGTGCAGTGCCAACACTACTGTCATGGTGCTCACCTCCCTCACACTTCATGCAGGAGACTTACCCATACGTTTTCACCAGGCCCAAGAATCGAAAAAGTGACCTTTAAGGTCTAAGCGTAACAGCACGCAACGGAAATATTCCTGGCTTAATTCCCTGTCTGGGCGAGATATACGAGTAAATCTTGTTAACCCTTCTGCTCCTGCTCACCTGGTAGTAAAATATTAACCTGGGTATCAATCGTCTTGTAACTGTTCACCTAGTTGTAAATAGGTACTTAGGCATTAGTCAACTGTTGTGGGTCACATCTTGGGATAAACCGCGATACAAAACTTTAAGAAACTCTAGTCTAGATCTTAGCCAATGATGCGAATGTTTAAGAAACATTCAGTACTGCTGGAGGTTCTCAAATGTTGGGTAAAAGATACCCACACAGCACCTTGTATCTACACAATGCCTTGTATCCACACAGTGCCATGTATCTACACAGTACTTTATATCCCCCACAGTGTCTTGTATCCACACAGTGCCATGTATCTACGATGCCTTGTGTCTACACAGTACCTTGTATCCACACAGTACCTTATATCTACATAGTACCTTGTATCCACGCAGTGCCATGTATATACATAGTACTAGGTATCTAACAATTGTAGTTACAGCAGAAGATATCACTGCTCTTATATCCTTTAGACTCCAGGTAGATGCATCTCTGCTTGTGTATAATTAGCAGAATTAGGACTCCGAAATACAGATTATCGTTGTGTTTTCAATTTCCTTTAGGTTCCCTGCAGTAGTTTGTACTCGCTTCATCATCCTTGCTCCTGCAGGAGGCAGGAGCAGGCAATGTATATTTAGCTATGGGTAGGATGTGGGTGGAGCGAGGCGCTTGGAAGATATTGTCAGTGCCCATCCACAGTGTCAACCCATACACCCATCCAGTGTCACCCTACACACCCATCCACAGTGTCACCCCACACACCCACAATGGCACTCACAAACCAGTGACCACTAACTAACCATGGCTACCAGTTCATCTAACAATAAACAATCGCGTCATTACGATTTCGTGAGTCATGCAAATGATGGATGGTGAATGTATTAATATTATGTTGTTCAAGGGAGGAAACGGTAAACCCTCACGGACCATAACACACATTCTCCCTAGAAAGGGGAGAGTAGCTTCAATTCCTTGGATCAAGAGCTGTTCACCAGCATGAATGTGTACGCAAAAGAGAAGTTAAAATCATATGCTGCTGTGCGTGTGTTCTATCAGAAAACGCATAGTGGCAGTTGTTGATGTATCAACACGTGACCTGACACACACATAGTGGCAGGTATTGATGCATCAACACGTGACATGACACACATACATGGCCACAAGCCGAGGTTCGACCCTTGCAGTCGCAAATAGACGAGTACCGTACTACACTGCTCAGCAGTCAGTTCCCTCCAGCGTCCCACTGCTCACTGCTGAGCAGTCAATGCTCAACAATCAGTGCCCAGCAGTCAGTGCTCAACAGTCAGTGCCCTCCAGCGTCCCACTGCTCACTACTGAGCAGTCAGTGCCCAGCAGTCAGCGCCCTCCAGCGTCCCACTTCTCATCATCAAACAACTATTACCAGAACTCAGCAGGTGGTGAACACTTGTAGTAGTGTTGACCACCTGGAGTGTTCCTGTTTTAGTCTGCCCTTGTGGCAACTACCACACTGACACAAATTTCTGCACTAAAACCACCTGATCAGCTAGGTTGTGATGGCTACCAAGGTTAATGTGATATAACGTCTATCGACTATATGAAGGTTATTAAGGCTGCAATTCACCTGTTCACAACAGGGATTAAGATAAACTCTCGATGTATTTACACTAAAACACATACACCTCACAGGACACACACCTCTAGGAAGATTTTATATGGGTTATTAACCCGGATGCTTAGTAAACTGGGATAACCCAGTAAAGTCATTGTTTCTGGCTTATCCTCTTCCCCGGGATGTGAAACAACAGTCAGCTAACACCAAGGTACCTACTTATTGCTAGGTAGGTGAACAAGTGTTAGGGAACATACCCACGTATCCATGCGTCACAAGATCGAACCCAGGTCTTTTGGTTGTGAGCCAAAGGCGTTGCTAATGAGCCACGAAATTGTGGAATGCTAGCAGCCATAACCTGGTGGATCAAGCTAATGGAAATCTATTTTCATTGTAGAGGAACCTTGCAACCAGCCACAGGTACTTCACAGGTCAGCGGTGCTCTCTCTCGACTTGCCTCACCTCGCAAGGCATCTCTCCACCCATCTGTGAGTGGGTGGGCGGATGAGGAGTGGGTGGGCAGGTGGGTAACAAAGGAGATCCTTAATTTAATGGAGAAGTGTTGCTGGCTGTGATCCAGCAAGCATCACCATCAGTACCACCTGTTACCACCACTACCACCTGCAGTCACCATCACACCCTACTACACCACCTGCAATCATCAACACACCTTACTCCACCACCTTCAGTCACCACCATACCCTTCTCCAGCACCTACAGTCACTATCACATCCTCCCACTACCCCTCCTGTTAACCCTACAGTCACCCCTCCCGTCACCCCTTCCGCTGCTCACACACACACACACACACACACACACACACACACACACACACTCTTTCCGGTCCCTGTGTATGTTTTTAAATGTTAAATGCCAGCCGCGGGTTACATGTCCCAGTCCTTTAAATGTTCGACTCAGTTTTAGTGTCTCATACACAAACATAATTACACACCTCAACGCAAGCCGGAGATATGCTACCGCATTGATACATAACCTGGAGATATGTTGTCTCTGGTACGTAAGCTAGAGGTATTTTTTCAGTGGTACTTAAGCGAGGCACATTGTCAGTGATACGTAAGCTGGAGATACATTGTCAGTGGTACGTAAGCTTGAGATACGTTGTACCTCTCCTGTGCGTAAACAAGAAAGATGCGTTTCATTTTTTTGGTAAAGTAAGTGAACTACCTGTGTAAATTACCTATGACTTATACCAAAGCGAGCAGCACCCAGTGTCACAGGTGGTGAAGGCAGCTGAACGAGGTAGAGTGCCTCATTCTCCACCTCAGCTTGGTTTTCGTGATGTGCCTGGAGTTTACCTGGAGTCGCTTCCGGAGGCCACAACCCCGTGGCTCGGTCCCAGATCAGACCTCTTGGCTACTGGCCTGATCCATCAAGCTGTTAGTGTCCAATTTCCGTAGTCCAGAGTATGCACCACAACCCGCTTGATAGGGAACTGTTTGGGGAATCTTTTGAGTAGTTTCTTCTTGAAGACAGGGTTTTGTTGGTAAACTCCTTTATGCATAAAGGGTGTTGAAGAGTCGTGGTTCCTTAACACTTATTGAGTTATCTCTCATTGTACTCATCGCTTCCCTGCTTTTCACTAGAGGCATCCTGCACCATCTACGAAATCTTGTGTGTTCATAAGAAGTAATTTCAGTGTGCAGGTTTGGGACCAATCCCTCCAGTATCTTTCAGGTGTAGATTATAATGTATCTTCCTCACCTACATTCTGAGGATTACAGTTCTAGAGACTAAGTAATTTAGGTGCTTGACTAAGCTTAAACGAGCTGTGAAGGTTCCCTGTATATTTTCCATCTTAGTAGTTTCGCCTACCTTGAAGGGGTCAGTATTACACAGCAATATTCGAGCCTAGAGAGAACGAGTGACCTGTAAACTAATATCATTGAATTGGCATCCCTTGTTTTGAAGGTTCTGGTTATCCAGTCTATCATTCTTCTTGCAGCTGCGATAATAACATTGTTGTGCGCCTTTGAACGTGAGATCTTCTGACATTATCACTCCCAGGTGTCTCCCATTTGACTTATGTTCTGTTGAGTAGATTGAGTTTGTCTTGTACTTTGATTTAGTTTTTATTTCCTCCGTTCATCCATGGCGTAATGATTGAAATTTGTCCTCGTTGAGCATCATATTGTCAGTGACCCACAAGAAGACTTAGTTTATGTAAGAAATAAGGAACGCTGCAAGAGGCCTACTGGCCCATGCGAGGCAGGTCCAATTCTCCTACCGGCTTAAGCTAATGCCCTAACCTAGTCAGGTCAGGTGACATTCACTTAAGGAAGGAGCACGGCATCTGACATAGTAGCACAAGCTAGTCAGGTCCATCTCACACCCACCCACACCCACTCGTGTATTTATCTAACCTATTTTTAAAACTACACAACGTCTTAGCTTCTATGACGGTACTCGGGAGTTTGTTCCACTCGTCCACAACTCTATTACCAAACCAGTGCTTTCCTGTATCCTTCCTGAATTTGAATTTTTCCAACTTAAATCCATTGCTGCGAGTCCTGTCTAGGCTAGATATTTTTAGCACGCTATTTACATCCCCTTTATTTATTCCTGTTTTCCATTTATATACCTCAATCATATCCCCCCCTAATTCTACGCCTTTCTAGACAGTGCAGATTCAGGCCCCTCAGTCCTCATAGGGAAGATTTCTGATACATGGGATCAACTTTGTCATCCTCCCTTGTACGTTTTCCAGTGCATTTATATCCATTCTGTAATACGGTGACCAGAGCTGTGTAGCATAATCTAAATGAGGCCTAACCAAAGATATATAGAGTTGAAGAACAACCTGAGGACTTCTATTATTTATACTTCTTGATATGAAGCCAAGGATTCTGTTAGCTTTATTGCGAACACTTATGGTTTCAGATTACTGCTAACTAGAACTCTTAAACCCT